TTTCCTGAGGCAAATTTACTGCCTCCAGCTGCATGCTCCTCACACCTGTGCATCCAGCTTTGAGTCTCTGCAGCTCAGTGTGGTTGCATTCTCTGTGGCTGAAGAAACCTGTGTCCCCACCATACTAAACTTAGTTGGTGGAGAGGAGTAGTGAGAAGAAGTATTTTCACCCCAGATAGCCTGACCTGAACCTGTATTCTGCTGCTCCCTAGCTGTGTGTGACCTGAGGGAAGTTCCTTGATAACCTTCTGCCTCAGTTCCTTTTTGTGTAATAGGGATATGTACTGCTAAGAAGTTATCACTCATGATCTAATTATTAGTTTCTTGGACAGTTTAAGAACTATATAATATTAGTTATTTCAACTTATTATAGTAGCAAGATCTAATTTGGCATTTAACTTATTAGTACTAAGGAGGTTATAATTTATCATATGTTCAATTTTGAAATTCAGAAGGTATCTCAGAGCCATTCATCTTGGGATATTGCTGACTAGGGATACATAATCTAGTCATCAAATTACATCAGGTTGTTCACAGAGCCAGTCCTAAATATCCCAGAAAGGAGAGAGGGCTGTAAACAAAAATATGAAAAAATTTTCAGACTTAATTTATCTTATCATGCAATGAATATGATTTTATAAGCTCATGGCACATACCAACAGACCACAGAAGGGCCATCATGATCCATAACAACAGTAGCAACAGTTACATGCAAGTCATAGGGGCTTTTTAATTCATGTAAAACCTCTACAGCATAAGAAATATCACTAGCCCCCATGTTTACATATATGGAACTTGAGACCCAGAGACGTGAAATATTCTTCCTAAGTTCATATATCCAGGGAAAGCCACAGTCAAGACTTGAACACAGCTTGGCAGGACTTAAGCTCTGTGCTTCATCATCAGTCCTTTGGTTATCTTAGGGTGTGCCTGCCATCACTATGATGACTAGAGATTTGATAATATGGTTAGTAGGCTCTAGTCACATGCTCTTCTATCAAGTCAGAGGGAAAAATAAACCCCATGCAAATCACATAGACTAGAACATGCTACACCAAACTATGTTGTCTGAACTCAAGGTTAAACATGGTCCAGGCAAAGGATAAAATGAAAGAAAGGCTGCCCCAGCTTCCAGCTTCCATGTACCTCACAGAGGTGTAGAGTGGAGAGTACTGCCAATGAAGTACAATGGGCTGTCTTCCGGTTCAGGCAGAAGTGAAAGGGGGTCCTGTGTCCCTCCTGTCACTAGCACACAGAAACAAACCACCATTAAAAGCAGCAGTTCTGTCACATCACCAAGTTCAGTGACTAGATTCTGGGTCTTGATAGGCTGGTACTGCCACTGGCTCATTTCTCCTTAACTATATTGCTGGGTCTAGAGGTTTATCTTTTGTGTACATTTAAGGACACTGGATAGACAGACCTGATCAAGGTCTAACAACATAAGCATTTGGTTTCCAAGGGAAAGCCAGGAAAGCTATTTCTAGAAGAGAAAAGATGAGGAGCAGGCAAAAGCACCTGATAACTATTGATAAATATGTGAAGACTCCAGCTATGTACAACACAACACGTACAATATATTGGATATAAACTGACCTTCTTTTCAGGGCTGGGGCTGTAACTAGAAGGTAGAACAACTGCCTAGCATTCGGGTAGCCCTGAATTCAATCCCCAACACCACAGGAAGCACACAGACAATAAAGCCCTTTCTTTCAGTTCCCATTAATCCTACATGAGATAATGGCCCACCCTTGAAACAATGCCCATAAAGCATCATTATTAGTTGTGTTAACATTACACTAGTCAGCAGACACCTTCTGTTAGGACAGGGAATGATGCTTGAGTAATATACTGGGAGGGTAGAACACCAAACCTTCTAATACCTACAATCAGTTATTTTCATATTCTTCATGGGCTTCTTATTCTAGTGTCAAAATCAATGTAGGGGGCAGTGAGATGGCTCAGCCAGGTAGGCACTTGCTGCTAAGCCTGATGTTCTGAGTTCAATCTCTGGGACTCACAAGGTAGAAGGTCAGAATTGACTCCCACAAGTTGTCCTCTTACCTCAGCATGTGTGCCATAACAGGCACATACATACACATGCTCACACGCATACATGCACACATGCACACATGTGCACAAATAAATACAGAATTTTTCAAAACCTTGGGAAACAAAAACTGTTCTTTTCCCATTTTACCTTTCAGTGAGGCTTAGAATTTGTAAAGTCTTTCTCAAGACAGATTTCTTAAGCGCAACAGAAAAAGGACGAACTATACGAAATTTCATCAAAATTGAAAATACTGCCAGGCGTGGTGGCACATGCCTTTAATCTCAGCACTGAGGAGGCAGAGGCAGGCAGATCACTGTGAGGTCAAGGCCAGCCTGATCTACATAGAGAGTCCCAGGCCAGCTGGGGCTACAGGGAGATCCTGTCTCAAAAAAAAAAAAAAGAAGAAAAAGGAATATTGATCCTCTAAAGATAACACATTGCAAAGACAAGACAGAGAAGTAGAGAAAATGCTCAGTATATCTCTGACAAAAGACTCTCAGAAGATTACTCAAAAACACTCCTGCAATTAACAAGACAAAACAATAAAGAAATTAAAAGAAGATTTGGACAAAATCTTCCAAGGGAAGTTTTATCAATGGACAACATGCAGGTGAAAAAAGTTCAGCTACAGGCATTAAAGAATGTAAAATAAAACTCCAGTGAGACACAACTTACCCACCAGAACAGCTAACATTATAAATGTCAGCCAACACCAGGAGTCAGGAAAGATGTGGAGTGAGTAGAGCCCCATGGGGATGTGAAATGACACACTTATTGTGGAAAGTGCTTTAGCATCTTCTTAGAAAATTAGACATATAATTCTACTCCGCGAGTATTTACCTAAAGGAAGCATATATGCCTACACACAAAAAAAATTTCAAAATGAATGTCCCAAACAGCTGCATTCACAAATAATCTAAATATCTATCAAAAAGTAAATGGAAATATAGCCACATAATGGACTTCTGATATACCTAACGAGGATGCAGGTCAAAAGCTTAGTGAAGGGAACCAGATCCAAAAACGTGTCTACTCTGATTCCACTCACACAAACTTCGGATGAGAAAAGTTTGCAGGGGAACAAAGGTTCAGACTGGAAGATCTGCTGCAATAATCCAGGTGGAAAATTCTAGACCAGGATGGCTGCAAAGACGACAAGAAATGGTCCGATTCTGAATACCTTTTGTAGGTAAAGTCAACAGTTTTCTGAAGGATTCAATGTAGAATGTGTGTGAGAAAAATAGAGGCTGAGTCCATGGTCCTGGACCTGAGCAAACAGAGAGATGAAATTCCTATTACTGAGATGATGAAACAGAGGCAGGGAGCAGTTTTGGGGAGAGGATGAGGCCAGCAGATGCGTTCAGCCTGCAATGCCCACTAAATGTCTAAACATAGATAGCAAGCCAGAAACTAGATATTCAGGAAGATCACTGGGCTGCAGGTAGAAATTTGAGAGTTTTCACCTTATTTTTCTAGAAAAAGAATTGAAAATAAAGTTCAGATGGGACAGAAACAAACACCTGGATAGATCTTTTGATTGTACAAAAAGGGAAAATCCACTTTAAAAAAGAAATAAAAAACAGTTTGGAAGTCACTAATGACTAGTGGGGAGAAAACTAGACTCTTACTAGTAAAAATCTCGGCTATAATTAGGAAAAATATTCAAGTAAAGTTTGGGGAGGATCTCAAAGCTCCTCTGGTCTTTTCCAGTATTGGGTAGCTTGTCACCACACCGACAGTCTAGGTAACCCACCCACACTCCAAAGATATGAGAACAGCTTCCTCCTGACACCTGCCTTCTCTAGGGGTGTCTACCAACTCCCAACTCCCCTCACTCCTGCTCCCGGACAGGTAAGGCCTGAGCCCTTCAAGTTAGCAGTTTCAATTACTTCTGAAATTGTATTTGGTAACTTGGTTCTTAAAAGGCATAGCTGCAGAGAGAGAGAACTATTCATCTGACCATAGAGTTGGAGGTATCAGAGATAACTGTGATCTGTGTGGTATGATTGGATGAAGCAGGAAAAAATATTTTTCACTCTCCAGATTCCTGAAATTCAGCCATTAGGGTTAAAGGTGGAAGCAAACTGCCTGGCTCTGGGGGAGCAGGATTGGGAATTCCAAGTGAGCCAGTGGAGAAGAAAAACTAGATGAGAAAGGAGACTCATATTTTAAAAAATGAGCTGCAAGATCAACAACCCCCATCTGCCCTGGAGACACACAAGACACCACATACACACATGCGCGCGCGCGCGCGCGCGCGCACACACACACACACACACACACACACACACACACATACACAGTTTTATTAGTCTGAGTTCCATTTGGCCCACTCCCAACACCCAGCACCTAATAGGCCACAAAATGAACATATCCATCGTCATCTTTCACCATGTGAAGAAGCAGACCTCCTACCTCAGGGAGTTGGGGGAGGGGGTCTGATGAAATTAAGAGCTAAGACCAGAGGACCAGCTCTGTTAGTAGCGCTAATTTACTCTCCTAGGAATCACTTACTGGGATAAAAATTTTAGGCAATTTCTGGAGACTCTTAAAAACTTTGTAGGAGAGATAATTGGACAGCACATCTCAAACGTGCCCTGTGGGGCTAGGGTCCTGGAGAGTAGGGGAGCCAGGCGGGGCTGCCAGGGCAGGCTGGGCTCCACACTGCACAGGGGCGCGGACCCGGCAGAGAAGCGCTCTCCCGCCGGGCGCGCAGCCACGGCTCGGCGCTTGCGCCTCCCTCCCTCTCTCCCTCCTCCGCCCCCCTTTGCCCTCCCTCTCCCTCCCTTTCTCCTCCTCCTCCTCCTCCCCCTCCTCCTCTCAGGGCCAGCGCTGCCAGACCTCGCCAGTTCAGACCCACCGGGCTGCCCTCCCCTGCGCACTCCCTCCCGCCCGTGCCGCGGCGCCGCGCAGCCGCTCAGGTAGGAGCCGCGAGCCGAGGACGCAGGCTGTGCGCCGGGGAGAGGTGGGATGACCCGAGGGCTGAGAAGCACCCCGAGAACGGTCCGGACTGTGCCTGCGGGCTCCAGAGGAGAGGGAGGTGGAGGTGTGCGGTCTCCGAAAGCGATGTCAGCGTGGGGGACGACCGGGATGGCATCCGAGAAGTTGGGCACGAGTGTGAGCGCTACCAACCGGGAGGGCTCTGGTGGTCAGCGTGGTTTTGTAGGTTTCAGGGAATGATGTGAGATCTTTAAGCAGTACCTGGATTGCACCGGAGCTGTTTGGAAGCCTAATGGCTTCCGCGGACAGCCGCCTGGTAGATTTCAGCTAAAAAAAAAAAAAGGTGGCTCACCTCCCTGCAGGCGCCAGGCCAACCACCCCAAAACTGGTACCCGGAGCTGCACTGAGATCCGCCCATATGACCCTAGGCAGCCCAGACCCTGTAGGCAGCTGGTCAGAGACTTGGGGACTAAGGAGCAAGGGAACCCGGGACTTTGAGCTGCATCTCTAACCAGCCTCCAAGTTGTGCGCAGAAAGCTGCGTGGAAAAGGAGCTTTCCGAGTGGTGCAGGAGGATGCGAGAAGCCGCACTAGGGGGTGTGAGAGGCTCTGATGTTCTCCCGGGAACTAGCCCCCCCGCTCCCCCCCCCCCAGTTTGGTTTTGCTGTTTCGTACTTACAAAAAAAGTCTGAGGGCCTGTAAATCATATTGGTTCGCAGGTATTTTTGCTGATCTGGGCACGGAACTTCACTGACTGGAGGTGAGCTATAGGGTAACCTAATGTTCCAAAAAACAAGCTATTGACTGCCCAGCTTCCACCTTGGGGACAGGGGTGTTGCATCGTCTTTGAATTTGATCATACTCTATTTTCCCCTGCCCTGGACTACCTTTTTCTGGAGCCTACTGTGTAGGTACAGAATAAATACGTACACGCTGCGTTTCCTTGGTATATGTACGAATGGAATACAGTAAGTGCAGTTTTGCAGTGTCCCCAGTGTCCTTTGGTGGCAAAGACGAAGGTTGAAGCGGTGGGATGAGAAAGCAGATTGTAAATGGGGCATCTCGGACTCTGTAGTTTCCTCACCCTCCCTAACTGCCTGCTTGCTTCCCTGCTAAAGTTTTGGTATTTCGCCGCAGCAGATACTAAACATCTATTTGTCCTGTTTCCTTTGAGGGTCAAGATGTTGCAAACCCTTTTCCTGACTATGCTGACTCTGGCACTGGTTAAGTCACAGGATACCGAAGAAACCATCACTTACACGGTAAGGGGTGATGGAATTTGAGATAAGTTTGTTCAGCAGGATTCTATGGCACAAGAAAGGCTTTATCCGCCCCTGCCAATGTATGTAGGCTGGACTCTATGAAGTATAGTAAATTAACAACACTTTAGTAAGATTCAGATTTAGGGTTCCTTGTAAATAGCCCTGGGTTCATTCAAAAGTTCCTTTAGATCACAAAATGAAATGGGGGCCAGAGTATAATGCTTTGTACAAGGTCCCCAAAAGAACACTTTAAAATTAAAATCGGTGTAAACTGCTTGTTTTCAACACACTCAATGAATTAATGGTTTTAGGGAATCAATGCATGCAAGGTGACACTCAAATCAAAAATGTGTCATAAGTGCAGCATCTTATTTGTGCCTCTGACCTGTGTTCTCATGAAGTGAACTTTGCTGAATTCATAAAGACTGTATGGTCATTTATAGTGAAACTCATGTAAGTACCCTGTGGACACAGTTTTTGGGTTACCAGGATAAGGTATGTGCCAGAGTGAATTTAAAGTGCAGTGTGTGCAACCCAGCTTTACAACTTCTGTTAGTATCTCTGGCATTTCCAAGTAATATTTGATTAATTAGCTAATCTCATCAGCAAAACCAATGTTTAATAAAATATTAAAAATATCATCTGGTCTCTCCCACTAACAAAAATAGCTGTCGTGAGAAAAGAGCAGGGCAGTGCTTAGCTGAGTACTTAGTGCTTAGCTCATTTGGGCTCTTGTTTTGTGTTCTCTAGTTTTCATCAGTGAGATGAATGGCATGTGTCCTGAATGAGAAGATGAAAAACACATTTTCTACTTGTTTCCAAATTATAAAATTAGGTAACCCTACTCAAATGAATGTCAGTTTTTTGAAAATAAAATTCAAAAGTGAGCTAACATCAATTACTAATAATAAACATTATCTCACATTTGGTATCACGTTATCCCTAGAATATTATTATTCATTCGGGAAATGTTCCTTTCTGTTCAGATCAACTATAAATAAAATAAAATAGCTTAGTATAAATATTTCGTTAACTTAATGTTTTGTTAACAAAGCAAACCAAGAGAAATGAATGCCCGTGCTGTTTATCTTCAAATGAAAATGTTTCATTATTCAGACTACACTTACTACCTTCTCCATGAGCTAAGATTGAACTTCCTATCCACTGTTATAATCATGTAATAAAAGATTTTATTACTTTTTTTCTGAGACAGGGTCTTGCTATAGAGCTGAGGCTGTTGTGGAACTCACTATATAACCTACTCTGGGCTTGAATGCATGATCTTAATGTCTCAGCCTCCTGAGTGGATTTATTTATTTATTTATTCATTCATTCATTCATTTATTCATTTATTTATTTATTTATTTATTTATTTATGTATTTAGAATTGCTTTCTTATACCCCATCCTTTTGCCAATCACCTAAATCTTATTTATTTCAAACAGAAAGTATTCACTATGGGTTAAGCACTAAAGTTTTAGGATTGTTATAACAGGTCTTCCAGATTGTGATGCTCTTTTATGCCAAGGTTAAGTCTATTCTCTTTTAAATTGTGTGTGCCCAATAACTGATGGTTAAAGGACAAAAGGTAACTAGTGTTCCTTAAGCACCTGGACATACATTTTATGTTTTTGTAGCAAAGTATGAAGTAAGTGATGTCCTCCTCCTGCTGGTGGTGTAATTGAAGAACAAAAATGTTCTTAAGGCAACACAGTCAACAACTAATGAAGCCAAGTTCAATCTGGGCTTGTTTAATAGTAGACCCATATTACAAACGCTAATGTAATACACTAAATACTAAAGCAAACTGCAAGTCTTCCTTATGTACCATGAAATTATTCAAATGAACTGCCATCTTGGCATGGTTTGAAAGATCCAGAAGTAAGACTAAGAAGTTAGTATCTACAATCAGACAGCCTACTTCCCCTTCCATTTTTAAGATAAGGCTCATTCAGCTACTTGCTGGACAATATCTACATAAACAGCTCTCTTCACTATCAAAAGAATTTAAGTTTCTTTGTTTACTGAGAAAATTCAGTCCTCTACATCAGTTCCTGTTAGTCCTTCATGGGATAATGGCCCACCCTTGTAACAATACCCATAAAGCTGTAGGTGCCAGAGGTCACTATGAACTCTTAGGCGGAGGAGTGAAAACAGGCTGCCATGGCTGCTGTGTACAGAATGTAAATACAAGAAGCCTTGCCTCCTTATGAGGCAGGAAGGTTTGTACCAATACGGTAATTATAGAAATGGCAATGTAGTCAGACTTGGAAAATAAGTGGAGATGGCAACGCTGATGCTTCTGGGTCTTGTGTGATGGTGACATCTTAGACAGTGTTGGGGAAACTAGGACAAATTCATCTGAGAGATAACATGAGTTTGGTTTTCACCCTAGAAACTGTCAAACATCACTAAAATAGCCGACTTGCTCTCTATGCCTCTATTCGGCCAGCTACTTCCTAAGCATCTACTTGCACAATCAATTCATACCTCTGTTAAATGAATTTGCTTGACTACTCCACTGTTGCACAGTCAGTCTGCCTTGAAGCATCTTTGCACAGTGACCTTCTCAAATGACATCTGCTCAAATTGTTTCCTGAGCTTAAAAATTCTGCAGTCTTCTTATCACCTGTAGCACTGTAGACAGCCTGCATGGGAATCAGGGCACTTGCTAAAGATCCCAGAGTCCAGGCCTCTTACCAAATCTACAGAATCCATCCTTGAAGAGAGCTGAAAAATGCATTTCAACAAGCACCCTGGATGATTCCAAGGCACAATAAGCCTGAAAGTCATTGACCTTCAGAGCCCAATCTAGTTCTCCTTGTCAAGGAAAGGCTTCCTGGATTTGCCTCCCCTCTCCTACTTTGCCAACCTCACTCCCCATCCAGCACTATTTGCAACTCCTTCCCTCTTCAACTGTTTGTGACTTTGCTCATAATCGTCCCCCTTTTAGAATCCCTAGAAAAAAATCCTCATTCTATAAAATTCACTTGTTACCCTCTCTGTGAGGCCTTTCCTTCTGTCCACAGTGGACAGAGTCCCTCCCCTTCCACAAACATGTTCATCACATGCTACTGACATCTTGCAACAACTCCACCCATCTATGTCTTCTGACCCAAGAACTACCTGAGGACAATGACAAGTTCTCCATCATCTTTCTATCCCAGAGCCTGGGACAATGCCTGGTGTGAGAAGGTGCTTGATGGTTATCTAGTAAGTGAACCAGAGAAGACTTGTAGGAACTGGAGTTCAGAGGCAGACCAGGGCATGAAATGTGAGTCAGAATGGTAAGGAAGGCCAGGTGCTCAGTGAATGGTTTAGGGTTTTGGGGGGACACTAAGATGGGTTGTCTTTTGCATATGAGATTTATTAGAAGAATTAATATCATAACCACACTGACAGCAGCAGGGCAGAGGCTCAGAGGAGATTTCAGACCTTAATGCCATAGACAGTCAGCATGGCTCTGAGAAGAGCCCAAGCCCACGTGGCAGAGTCAGGGAGGGCCCTTTATAGGTTTCTGAGGGAGTGGGAGGTTCTGTGCCCTGAGATTGATAACTCCATAGTGTGTACTTACAGTCAAGCTGTCTCCAATTCCCAGGCAGGAGAAGAGAGGGGTTCTTGCAGCTTGAGGAAGGAATGTGTGACCTTGAGGATGGGGGTTGAGGGGAGGAGGGCCCCATTTAGTTAATGTGTATCCATCATACAGGGTGTGTCCCTGGGAGCCCCTGATAGCATGAAGTCTGTTAGCCTGAGCACAGAATCAGCTATGAGGGTGTGGTGAGACACAGCTGCACATAGGCGTGACCTGAGCAACAGCTGGTCTGGGTTCTAACATCTCCAGCCTTTTTGTTTATATAAAAAAGAAATGGAAGGATAGCTTTATGGAAGAGAAGAGAAAACCCTTTGGGGGTGGGTATCAGACACTATATTCAACCTGATTCCTTCCTGCTGACTGTTGGGGTGTCCTGGAGTTAGGGAGGCTAAGATAGTCCAAGATACAACTTTTGGTTTTGCACCTGTAACATTCAGCTTTGAAGCTCTGACGACACACGTGCATCTTGTTGAAGTTGTAATGACGCAGGTGTAGCTTTACAGTTTCCCATTGACCAAACATTGTAAGTATTATTTGGTCTGTCATATTGCTGGGAAGTTCAACCTTAGGAGCTTATGAAGATGAGGCCGAATATGCAAGGTGACTCTTCAGGAGGGAGAAATGGCTACTAAAACTGTTGAGGAAGAAATTCCTGGATTATATTAATCTATTAACCATCATTATCTGATCTGATTTTTTCCTGTCCTCTCTACCTGGTAATACTGATCAACAGAAATATTATATCTAATATTATATTAAAAGAATAAAAAAACATCTTGTAGCAAAGATAGCAGATGAAGAAGCCAGGCACTCTAATTTATACTTGAAGAGGTGTATTTGGAGACTTACGTGTCTCCAACTGTAGTAAATGGAATTAAAGTAGAGTAGTAATCTAATTGTGTGGACTTTTTCTTTTTTCTTACTAAGAAAAAATTTTGTTTTGACTCTAAGAGTGTGAATTTAAAATATAGGAATCCGCCCCAATGGATTTCTTTTGAAATATTTAAAATACATTTTTTCTATTTTAAATAAGATTTCTTTTATTCACTTTATACTGAATGATAAAATTCTTTTACATGAAAACTTGGTCCAAGTAGGGTAGAGGGTCTGTGTAAGGTAAACAGTTATATCAAAAACATTATTTTTTTAAAAACAGATTTTTAAAAAATATTTATTATTTTTATTTTATGTGTATGAGTGTATTGCCTACATGTATGTGAGTGTACCTATGTCGTACAATGCCGAGGAGGTCAGAAGAGGGCTTTGGAGTCCCCTGGAACTGGAGTTAAGGATGGTTCATAACTGCCATGTGCATGCTGGGAACCAAACCCAGGTCCTCTGTTAAGAGCAGTCAGTGCTCTTAACTGCTGAGCCATTTCTCCAGCCCCTCAATAACATTATTAAAGTAAGGACACATTGTAATCTTTACTTTACTCTTAGCATTAGGAATATGCAAAGCAAAATTTCAATCTTTTACAAAAGTATTTAATAAATATAAAAGTATGGTAATTTCCCTTAACTTAGAAGGAGTCTTCTTTAGATTAATGAAATCATCTGGTTATCTTCACCTCCCAGTAGCTTACTGTGAAAAGCTCATAATTTATTAGCTGTAATTATTAATTTATCCATCTAGAGGACTGAGGAGCATAAGCACAAAAAATTTTTGTATAAGGGGCCAAATTTATAAGTAGATTTAATTATTTTTCCAACAGAATAAATTTTATAATTGGTATGTAACTTAGCAGGAATATCTCAAACAGTAATAAGCTTTTGTAACAGAATTTTTCCTTCTGTTAAGGCAGTGTTTACTCAATAAGTGAAAACTTTGCTCAATAGGAAAACATGTTTAGCATTTGGAGAAATCTAATCACAGTCTTTCAAAGGTTTACTAAATCTCATTTAGTAAAAGGATAAAATAAGATCCTTGAGTGGATAAGGTGGCACAGCAGGTAAAGGCACTTGTCCCCAAGGTTGAGTTCAATCCCTAGGACCCACATGGTGAAAGGGAAAACCCACTGCCGAAAGTTGTCCTCTGATATATTCACACATGTGCCATGGCATGTATGAGCCCACACATATACAAATAGATACACAGAGTAAATAAGTGTAATAATTTTTATATACTTGTTTTTCTAAGCCAGGTTTTGTAAAGATTACTAAGAGCAAATGGGTACTTAAGAAAGCCAGGGGCTAGGCAGATGGCTCAGTGGTTAACCGCTTGCCAAACAAGAGTAAGGTCCAGAGTTTGGATCCCAGAACCCACATAAGTACCAGGTGCACCTGGTGGCTTGCCTGTGATTCCAGTCTCAGAAGGTAGAGACCTGGGATCCCTAGAGCAAGGTGGCTGATGAGACTAACCATGTAGGTGAGCTCTAGGTTTCACTGAGAGACTCTGTCTCATTGAATTAGGTGGGAAAGTGATTGAAGATGATTCCTGACACCAATCTTGGGCCTCCACATGCACATGCACCCATGTGCATATGCCCATAACACATGTATCCACATACATATAGGTACACACACATGCGCACACACACACACACACACACGTATACCACACACATGAAAATGAAAAAAAGAAAAAGAATACTTAAGGAAACCTTATTATTATAAACAGAGAATTAGGCTTCAATTTATCTCAGTGCAATGGAATTTTGGGCATAGTACTTATAATTATTTAAGCTACAACTGTATTATAATCCTCTTTCATAAATTTTCTATACAAAATCTTTTTGATCTAAAAAAATTTCCCTTTTTAACCTTCCTTACAAACTGTGCATTTTATATCTATAAATTTTATATCTCTTTTTTATTTAATGTCTTTTATGTCTAATTTCATGAAATCTTAAAGAGTACTATATTTTAAATGAAAACTTAATAAATCCTATTTGAAATACAGAAAACATGTACATTGTATTTCAAATATCTAATAGTCATCAGTACAGAACATAGTAATCACCTTAAATACACTGTAAAAGAGAAGTTATATTTTTGATGAAATCAAATCTGTGGGGTAAATGTTAAGATGCCCCTCTATGTTCAGAGCAAAAGCCTCTTTACCTTGACATATCTATATCCACATACATACCTACCTATACCCACTCATAGACATGGACACATCTTAAAATCAGATACATACACTCTATAACCTTTACGGTGGCCACAGAATGACACATAAAGACAGTTTACATACATGTGACATCTGTGAGCACAAGCAACAAACAGCTGTAGCACATAAACAAAATGACAACACATGGAAAAAACATGATTACATTTAGCCTTGGAGAGGGGCAAAGGATAGAGCAAAGGTTTATATCTGAACAGGCAGAGTGTTTTAAGCTTGCTACTTCAGAAGAGAGGTATGGCGTGGTTGTGGGCATGTTCTAACCTCTGCCTCAGGTGCATAGGTGGGTAGGGAAGTGAAGAGGTGTGGTTCAAGGGATTTGGGAGATTTCAAAAGCAGTTTGGGAACCTTCAGATAGCAAATTGCTTGGGAATAAGCTACAGCAAACCCTGTTGGGTTTTAGAGCAGCCCTAAGGGCCAATCCAGGTGGGATAGCCACTGGTGGGATGGAGGGGAAAGCCTCCAGATGAATATTAGTGCTGGGCTAGACAAAAGGGAGTGGGGAGCAGAGAGAAATGGAAAGGATTTACAAAGAAACTCTCAAAGAGAAGAGTTGTAGCCAGGAGCCACCATGTGTGTGAGCCAGGAGGAGAGGCCAAAAATGGAGAGCCTCTAGCTATGTGACCAGAGCCAGGAGTCTAGCTAGCAAAGAGGCAACTTGTTATCTCTCACAGAGAAAAGCACAGTTTGCAGCCAGCTAGAGAAAGCCTTTTTGGAGTAGATTTTTGTAGCAGAATTTGAAAGTAAGTGGTAGAGAGGACAGCAGTTTTTAAGGTAGGCTCTGACGTTGGAAGTCTCTAACCACTTGTGTTGCACTATGTGAAGTAACCTAAGCTTATATGAGTTTGGAAAGCAAAAATTACTCATTATGAGGCTTGTAGGGAGTTAATCAGGTCCCACAGAGAGGGATAAGTGAACACAGCATTCTAGTAACCCTTCAACTCCCTTCCAGAGCTGTGACAAGTGTCGTAAATAGTAAATTGAGTGAAAGTAAGTGTCCTTAGACTCAGCTGATTTAGGGCAATCAAGTCCAGCCCAAGACCAGGACACTCTGACCTAGTGCCAGAGTTTTGGGGAAAAGTTATTGAATGGACAGAGTTCCCAAAGAACAAAAAACCCCTCACCAGTCAAAAACAGAGCCGGTATTGGGCATGGAGAAAGCAGGAGCAAGGATAGAGGGGCCCCAAAAGGCAATCCATTTCATTGGAGCTCCCATCTGAGTTCTGGCACTATTAGGAAAGGTCCAGGGTTTGGGGTTCAGAGGGAGACACTGAGATGGATTGGCCTTTTGCATAAGAGATTTATTGGTAGAGACATAGATAGAAATACAGCGCCGTGGCAGAGTCTCTGAGAAGATTTCAGGCTCTTGCCATAGACAAAGCACATGGTGGGAGCTTTGAGGAGAGCTCAGACCCATGTGGTAGAATGAGGGTTCCCTTCTGTAGGTCACAGAATGAGGGAAAGGTCCCATGCCAGGCAGTTGAGAATAGTCCACAGTACCCATTTGTAGCTGGGCTGTCTTGTATTCCTGGGTGGCAGAGGCAGAAGAGGGGATCTTGATTACATTTTGAGGAAATAATGTGTGACCTTCAGGATGTAGAAGGGACTGATGTGAGGGATTCATTTTGTTAATGTCTTCAGTCATGTGGAATGTTCCCCAGGAACCCCTGACAGCTTGTAGTCTGTCAGCCTGGGGCTTGCATGCCGAATCTGCTCTGAAGCTGCAGATCTGGCTTCTAATGTCCAGCTGCTCAGAATTTAGAAAGAGAAGGAAGAGTTCAGAATGGGGAAATAAGGAACCTGGTTGATATTTTTCTTGTTCTTTCTTTTCTTTTGTGTTTTGTTTGTTTTTGTTTTTTTTTGTAAAATTTGCAACATAGAAAAGAGGGGGCAAATTTAAAAAATTGCAGTCAGAAATGTTGGCAGAGATTAGTCTCAAAATAGAAAAAAATTCCAAGAAGATGGTGGTTAACAACTGTATCACACCCAGTGGAGGAGTCAAGTCAGCTGGGAAATGAAAGGATCCCTAAGCTACCCACTGCACAGACTTGTCTTAAAAGGGAAAAGGGCAGGGCCTGGAGAGATGGCTCAGAAGTTCAGAGCACTGACTGCTCTTGCAGAGGATCTGGGTTCAATTCCCAGCACCCACATGGTGGCTACAAACCATCCTTAACTCCAGTTCCAGGGGAATCCAAAGCCCTCTTCTGACCTCTGCAGTATTGCACGACTCGGGTGCACTCACATGCACACAGGCAATACACTCATACACATAAAATAAAAATAATAAAATATTTTTTAAAAGGTGTTGAGGGGGGAGGCCAGAGAGTATCCAACTATCCATCTGATCATCTGGCTGGGATCCAGCCATCAGAATAAAGCTTTTACCAAATTTTATTGGGGAAACCATTAATTACCTCCTGTCACCATGTTTGATGCTTTCTTTACAGCAATGTACTGATGGATACGAGTGGGACCCTGTGAGGCAGCAGTGCAAAGGTGAGCCTGCTTCCCAGACCTCCTCTCTGAGCATGGCCGTCTCCACCTCCTGTGTTGCTCTTCCTGTCCTGTGTGTGTTCAACCCAAAATATGTGTACATGTATTTACTTGTTCCATTTTCCCTCTGAGAAGATGGCTGACTTATTTCATTACTGACCACAGATATTGATGAATGTGACATTGTCCCAGACGCTTGCAAAGGTGGAATGAAATGTGTCAACCACTACGGAGGATACCTCTGCCTTCCTAAAACAGCCCAAATTATTGTCAATAATGAACAGCCTCAGCAGGAAACACCAGCTGCCGAAGCATCGTCGGGTGCCACCACCGGAAGTGTAGCTGCCAGTAGCGTGGCAGCCAGTGGTGTGGTGCCTGGGGGTGGTTTTGTGGCCAGTGCTACTGCAGTGGCTGGCCCGGAAGTGCAGACTGGTCGAAATAATTTTGTCATCCGGAGAAACCCAGCTGACCCTCAGCGCATTCCCTCCAACCCTTCCCACCGGATCCAGTGTGCAGCAGGCTACGAGCAGAGTGAGCATAACGTGTGCCAAGGTGAGCATGATTTATTGTACTAACAAGAAAGTTCTTGACCAAGTGCACCCCCTGGTGAGGACGGTAATAGTTCCCATTTATCAAAGGCCTCCCACACAGGACACTGCTACGTATTTTGTCTTTAATAGCATATTAAATCATTGGCATAATCCTAAAAGGTAGTTGCTATCAATGTCATTTTCATTTTACAAATGAAGAGCCTGGCCCAGAAAATTCATCAGAGGTTCCCAACCATAGCTGCTCTATTTATAGTCTCTTAGGAACCTTTTAAAGCTTCTCAGTGGCCAAGCCACACCCTAGCACAGTTAAATAACAGTCCCTAGGGGTGAATTCCAGGCTTCACTATTTTTTAAATCTCCCAGTGTGGTTCCCATATGCAGCCAAGTTTGAAACCAGAGGTCACACAGGTGTTAAGTGCAGAGCTGGCTTTCAACCCTGGCAGGAGGGTGCTAGAGTCCTAACTGTCAGAATAAGGGTCACATTATTGTTTGGAATTTGCAGTTGTGCTGTGGAGCCACTCCAGAAATGCCCCCCCCCCCCACTTTGCTTTCCTGGGCTTTCTTGTCATTGGAGTTGCTGTTAACTTAGTTTCCTCATTCAAGAATAAAGAAAAAGGGCTCCTGCTTCTCTCCACCTTGGAAGGAATGGTGGCTGTGCAGCTCACATGTGTTCCTTTTAAAGCCCTCATTTCAGCCCATTTTGCTTCTGTCACTTGCACCATGGCACCATCTGCCTGGGCTTTTTTTGTGTTTATTTTCACAAAGAGTACACATCACTGTGTATTCTAGAAACAGCTGTAGGTTCATACTAGCAAAGTGATAAGAATCTCAGGCTTTGAAGACAAGTAAGATATTAGCTAACTGGACTGTGCTAAGGGGTTTTGTTTCCCTTTTCCTTCTTAGCAAACCTTTTAAGAGCTGCCTGGTATGGTAATTCTTTTACTGAGATAGGAGTTCCCAGACTTCTTTCACATTGCTAGGGGTTCACTAGGTAGACCCCATTTGAGGGACTTCCTGTCATCAGCACATACACACTGGACAATGGACAGGCCCCAGGAGCTCTGTCCTTCTACTTGGTCATGAATGGGAAAGAGAACATGTTCCTCCTTCCCTGGTTGGTACCATCAAACTGCTCCATTAGTGGAAGATTATCCCTTGTGTCCTAGGATGACGCCCTATTCTCCCGTGCTTTGTTTTATGTCTCTAGAGATACAGTAGGTCTTAAATGACTTATAAGTGAAGTAAGAAAGCCTACCAAGCTCTGGCTTTTATTATTTCATATTTTGTGTGCAAATTTCAAGTTACCCCACATCAAGAGCTAACCCATGCAGTGATGGTGTCACTTTTCAGAGGGAACATCAGATGAGCATCTGTTTTGTGTTACTGTCATGAGTCAGAATTCCAATATTGGTGATGAATGCCTCAGCATCTGCTTGATATTCTGATATTTAATTTAGCATTATGTCAAGGAGATAAACTGATGAGGTTATCCTTCTATATGTATTTGAGTGAATACGGATGAAAAATACCTCCAGTTTAGTTCAGATGTCAACTTCTAGTTGTGTTATTTAAATATGCTAGATTGGGAGATTTTATGGTATATTTTCTGAAAATAAATACTTTAATTAAATTGCTTTTATTTTTATATTATGAGGGGTTTTTAGCCCTGTAGGTATTGTATACGTTAATGATACATGGGAAAGAAAGAAATAGATAAAGAATGGGTCATTTCCCAAAGTAGTTTATGGTTCATCTTTGACACTTCTGGTTGAATTCAAGAACAATGCCTAAAATGGAATGAAGGAACTTTAAAATATATTCAAGACTTACAACACACATTGGTTATAGTAGACCCTATATTGTGAATAATGAACATGAAACCCCATTTAATTTTTCTTTAAAATAATTAGACTACTTATGAAGTTATTTTTCAAATATTAAAATATTTAGAATTCTCACTCCTTTGGGGGATTTTTTTTAGTTATAAATTAAATTATTAGGTACCTTGCTTATGGAAAATGTGAATGTGTGGCTGTGTGTTATGTACACACCAAGTATTTAATACAAACTCTTCTGAATAATTCAGCCAGTTTCTAAAATTTGGGATTGGGGTCCATTCCATTGAAAGCAGGGTTAAAAGTTTTTTGGATGAATTAAAGCTTAAGTTGGATTTCTTCCCACCTCCCAATTTTGCAAAGTGCCCATAAATGTGGATTTACTTAATTGTTGATAAAAAGGGTTACTTCATATGATAACAGAATAATCTGTCTAGGGAATCTGACTAACATAAGTCGAGTCACACTTGTGCCCGTTTATTATTGAACTAATCAAACATGCAACCCGGCTCCTTCTAATTGCCTGCAGCTGTATGACACTCGAATTCCAAGCCAGCAGCATAAAATAATGCTTTTTAACAATGTGAAAGTGTAGAGACTTCCGCTTAAAAAAACCAATAACGTGCTCCAAGGACCTATATTCCTGACAGCATCATGCAGTTTAAGGAGCCTTCTGTTTTAATAAACATCTCTACTCCCTTTTAAATGCTGCATACTCATGTCTAGCAGGTACGCTTCATCATTACATAACATAAAACAGAGCATTTATTTCTGCAAGGGCTGAAATATGTACTGTTTCTGTCTTAAAATAAACAGAGTTTTCAAACACACTATGTCAATCATGACCTTTACCCAAGCATTGAATTACCACTAGATTTTTTAATGTACACTATTTTATAAATAAATACATAGACTATTTATATATATATGTATGTTTTAACAGCTTAATGGAAATATGCTCTGACTCTGCTTCACATTATTTTCCCAGGACTTTTGTTTTTTACAAAAATAAAATGTTTAAAACATGAGATCCAAAAATCAGGTCATAGTACGTTTTTGTTTCAAAAAATGAAGGTGCAATAGGTGTTTCAAGAGACTGGCGTTATCCTTAGCAGCTCTACAATTACACAATCATTTCAGTGTTGCATATCTGAAGTCATGTGTAGATAAGATTTTAGAAACCATTGTGATATCATCGTCTTCAAAGACTATATTCACCTAGATAAACAAATTGAATGAATAGGAAACATACTAGAACTGATCGATGGCTCACCTCTAATTTAGTCTACATTTTTATTGCACAGTCTAAGTGATCTTCCTTAAAGGAAATGGAATTAAGAATGGTCTAGGCGTAGTGGTGCATGCCTTTAATCCCAGCACTCAGGAGGCAGAAGCAGGCAGATCTCTGTGAAACTGAGGCCAGCATAATCTACATTTTGAGTTCCAGGCCAGCTGGGGCTAGGTGAAACCTTGTCTCAAAAAGACACCCCCCCAACAAAAAAAAGATGGATTTTTTTCTATCAAATATAATTTTCTCAGCGTCCCAGATTTATAGGGGAAAAAACATTTTTTAGGGGAAATATCATTTTGCTACTGGCAAGAAAGAAAATATAAATTATCCAATTTGGAGAAATTTGTTCACTTAATTTACCCAAAATTAAACATAAGACATTTCATATAACTTGTAATTAACTCGTTATTAACTTGGTCACCATTCATAGGCACAACTACTAACTCATGAAAGGAATGGGACCATCAAGAAATGGACTCAGGGACTGGCAGGATGGCCCAAGGGGTTAAAGGGCACTTGACCTGGGTTTGATCCCCAGGTCTGACATGGTGGAAGGAGAGAAATGACTCCCAAAAGTTGACCTCTGAGCTCCACATGCAAACCAAGTCAGGCACAAGACCCCTCCATAAAGGAATAAAACAAACAAACAAACAAACAAATAAATGTAATTTTTTAAAAAGAAGAAATAAACTCAGTAAAGGTACCCAGTAAAGCTGATTATAGAGTCAAGTCCAGAGCACAGAACTTGACTTGTATTATTTATTACAGATGTACATAAATATGTATGCATGAAGTATATAAGGTAGGACATAAAATGTGAAAACATACCTTAGAGTTATCAGCTATCTCTCTCTGCCAAGATGATCCTGATGTTAACACTGCAGGTCTGCTTTCACTGGAACTGTCTCACACCAAGGCAAATAGGATGGTTGATCATTTGCAGCACAGCTCTATAACCAGATCCCACACATTTTATAACCAAGAGCAAGACAGTCCTAACATTAGCACCTTTTGTTCAGATAAAGGCAGTGTTGGACCAGTTTTTTGAAACAGTCTCTCTATTTAGCTATCCTGGAACTCACTATGTAAGTCAGTCTGGCCTTGAACTCACCAAGATCCCACCTGCCTATACTTTCCAAGTTCTGGGATTAATGGCATGCATTACCTCTCCTGGCAAGTGAGACTTTTTATATTTATTTATTTATTTATTTATTTATTTATTTATTTATTTGTTTGTTTGTTTTTTTGTTTCTTGGTCTTTTTGAGACAGGGTCTCCCTGTAGCCCCAGCTGTCCTGGAACTCACTATGTAGACCAGGCTGGCCTTGAACTCAACAGAGATCCGCCTGCCTCTGCCTCCCGAGTGCTGGGACTAAAGGCTTGCACCACCACACCCGGCTATTTTTATTATTTTTATTTTTTATTTTTTTGGTAATTTGAATTGAACTTTCATAAGCCAAAATTAAACTGCATTGATTTCCTCTTTTGCATAAGTGGGGTACCAAGGCATCAGCACTTACGTACTTGGATATGCCATACCATAAGAAGCTCATCTTTTCACATTTCTGTAGGGCCAGTGCATCAATTACAATGTTTTTGGTTTGCTAAAGTCTTTCTTTTTTCAACTTTCACCTGTATTTCCAGTGATTTGATTTTTATCACTATTACCCATGATGCAGAAGCAACTACAACACTGAAAAAAAAACTGTCCTCTTATAAAGTCTAAGGGTACAGCAGATTATACTGAAGCTTGAAAAAGGTCTGTTCTCCTGAGGGCCTTCTCTTCTCCCCTGCACATTTCTTTGTAAGCAGGACAACTAAAATACTATTTTGAAAAGAAGTAATTATATATGCTCTTTAAGAAGTCCTGAACTAA